GTCCAATGATGCCGTGGATCCTAGAAGTTCAGCAATCACCTTTGTTTGTCATGTTATCCAATGTGTATGCTTTTCTATATAATGCCCATGCTTGTACCTTGAGGGCATGCAGGATTTGGGAACTGTTTGCCTCCAATGTCCATCTGAAATTGATTTCTGTTCCTGTTTTCAGCTCTTGCATATTTCATTGGATCAGATTGGGAGTTATAGTATGCAGGACAACAGGAATTGGGTTCTAAGAGCCCTGTGGATCCCACAATCCATGAATGCTCAGATCCCTTTATATACAATGGTTTATTAAAATGAATTTGTTTTGGTTTTTTAAAATTCAACCATAGCTGGTTGAACCCTTCGATAAGGAAGACTGACTAGTGTCCCTTCTCCTTTCTGCACATGCACATGCAATACATACTGTGGTGGCATAACAGCAGTGTTATCTCATCCTTCAGTGTAACTAATGTCTAAACTGGCTGCAATCTTATGCAATTTATGTTTGATGTAAGTTCCATTGAATTAAGTAGGATTACATCTGAGTAAATATGGAAGGACGAAACTGACTGCTGTGAAATGAAGTATCAGATGAGGACATTCCAGTCATAATTCAGCCATGTGATTGGTGCCACTTTGTTGGCCACCTAGAAGAGAATACAACATAAATAGCACTGTTAAACAAAATTTATTGGTCATGTCAGAGCAACCAGTCCATTATATTATATTTCTAACAGAACAGATTTGATAGTTGGTTAAATGTCCTTTGACCAGTATCTGGCCACTTGGAGTGCTTCCGGTGTTGCTGCAAGAAGGTCCTCCATTGTGCACGTAGCAGGGCTCAGGTTGCATTGCAGCAGGTGGTCAGTGGTTTGCTCTTCTCCACACTCGCATGTCGAGGATTCCACTTTGTGGCCCCATTTCTCAAGGTTGGCTCTGCATCTCGTGGTGCCAGAGTGCAGCCTGTTCAGTGCCTTCCAAGTCGCCCTGTCTTCTGTGTGCCCAGGAGGGAGTCTCTCATTTGGTATCAGCCATTGGTTGAGGTGCTGGGTTAAACAAAATAACAATGAAGTTATGAAACATCAAACACAAGTAAAAAAGCAAAGATAGCCACTGTAGTGTAGTGGCTTGAGTGTTGAACTATGACTCTGGAGACCAGGATTCAAATTCCTACTCAGCCATGAAACTCACTCAATGATCTTGAACAAGTCGCACTCTCTCAGCTTCAGGGGAAGGCACTGGCAAACCTTGCCAAGAAAACTCTGTGATAGGGGCCTATTCAATAATATAATTAGAGCTTGCAGGCAAAGCCTTTCACAAATAAATGCACTGCCCTTTCTTCCATAAGAAGCGGCCTTCAATACCGTTGACCACGATATCCTTCTGGGACGCCTCGTAGACATGGTACTTGGGGGTATTGCTTTGCAGGGGCTCCAGTCCTTTCTCGAGGGATGGTCCCAGAAGGTGTTATTGAGTGACACCTGTTCGACCCCACAATCATTGATGTGTAGAGTCCCACAGGGTTCAATACTGTCCCCGATGTTGTTTAACATCTACATGAAGCCGCATGGGGGAGATCATCCGGAGTTTCAGAATGAGGTGTTATCTTTATGCAGATGATGTCCAAATCTGTCACTCCTTTCCACCTGTCACCAAGGAGGCTGTCCAGACCTTGAATCGGTGCTTGGCTGCTGTGTCGGACTGGATGAGAGCTAACAAATTGAAACTTAATCCAGACAAGACAGAGATCCTACTGGTCAGTCGTAAGGCCAAACAGGGTATAGGGATACAGCCTGTGTTAGATGGGGTTACACTCCCCTGAAGAAGCAGGTTCGCAGCTTGGGAGTGATCCTGGACTCATCACTGAGCCTGGAACCCCAGGTCTCAGCGGTGGCCGGGAGAGCTTTTGCACAATTAAAACTTGTGCACCAGCTGTGCCCGTACCTTGGGAAGTCTGATCTGGCCACAGTGGTCCACACTGTTGTTACATCCCGAACAGATTACTGCAACGCGCTCTACGTGGGGTTGCCTTTGAAGACTGTTCGGAAACCTCAACTAGTCCAATGGGCGACAGCTAGACTACTCACCGGAGCGTCATGCAGGGAGAATACCACCCCTCTGCTATGTCAGCTCCACTGGCTGCCGATACCGTTCCGAGCACAATTCAAAGTGCTGGTATTGACCTATAAAACCCTATACGGCTCCGGCCCAGCGTACCTGTCCGAACATATCTCCTTCTACGTCCCGCCTAGAAATTGAAGATCTTCTGGAGAGGCCCTGCTCTCGGCCCCCCACCTGTGGAATTCACTCCCCGGGGAAATTAGATCATTGTCCTCCCGCCTCTCTTTTAGAAGGAAATTAAAAACATGGATATGGGACCAGGCCTTTGGGTAATCTGGTAGACCGACAAGGACAATGACAACAAGAGCTTTGGAAACAGATTATGATAAGATGAATGGACTCACTAATTACAGAACTCGGCGAAACGATGGCCACCAGGCTGGCTTTTTTCTAGTAGATTTTATTGTATTAATTTAATGTTTTAATTATTTATAATTACTGTTTGTTGTGTATTTTATTGTGTTATTGTGTTTAATTGAAGGCTGGAAGCCGTCCTGAGTGCCCCCCCCCCAGGGGGTTGAGAAGGGTGGGGTAAAAGTACCCGAAATAAATAAATAAATAAATAATTGTCTTGATTCCTGCAACTTAACTGAGAAGAAAGGGGGCCTTTTGTTGTCATAATTCCTAAAACATTGGAAGTCAAAAATACACTCCATTGCAATTACTTTTGAGAACTCAGAGGAAATCCTGAACCACTTTCCATTCATTCCTGCTCTCCTAGAGAAAGCTTAGCAGTTCAGTGGCATGGACTGAATGATCAGCTACCTTAGGCAAGGAAGAGATACCAGAAATGGCAGATGCTTCCTGCTCCTCCTCACAAGCAAGTATCTCAGGCCTGGATAGTCTTAGATCTTGAGAGTTTCCATCTTTTCATATTGGATCAAACCTGATATTTCTAGCATGTTTCTGGAAGAGGAGCTCCCTCAAGTGGTAAAAATGTCATTAATCATAGAGTTGGAAGAAACTACATGGCCTTCTTGTCCATTCCCCTGCCATGCAGGAAAAAGCACAAAGGACCCAGCTCCTGTTTAAAAGTCAGAGTACAAGGATCAGATTGACACAGAGGAAGCTTGTGCACTAGGTTTTTTTTACTCCTACCTCACCCAGGGTTTTATCATTTTATCTTGTCCATTTGGCCTGCCCATTCTATTTGATTTTATATTGTGTGAATCTGCTTTATTGTTGTATTTTGTTATTATAATTTATTTTTATTTTATTTTTATGTATTTTGTCTTGTATTTTGCATTTTACTGTGTTGTATTGTATTTTTAGAAGGGCTTGGCAAGCTATTAGCTTTCCCGAGTCCCCATTGGGGAGATGGTGGCAGGGTATAAATAAAGTTGTTTATTGTTGTTGTTGTTATTGTTGTTGTTGTTGTTACCTTTGCTTATCTGATGCTGTGGAAATCTACAAACCTTGGGGTAATCCAAGCACTCCATGGGCTGGCATGCTTAAAAAAAAGAACATGTAAATTAGAAATACGCATTTGTAGTAAGGAATTCATTTTTTCCCTGCAATGCATCCATGTTTTTTCTTACTAGTTTTCTAGGCACTCATATGAGCTAAGGATTGCAGTAACTGATATATAAATTCTCTAAGTGATAACAGTGGCTTTTCAGAAAAGTTGAGATCTCAGCTGAGACCAGGAATTTGTGTATGCAATTGAACCAAGCTAGCCAAAATGCGCAATTCCAGAGGTTAGCCAGAAGAGATAAGGAACTATTTT